TAAATAATCATTACACCAACTCTTTGAGGCAACACCTATTGAGATTTTGGCCTATATAAAATAAATAAATAAATATAAAATAAATTTATCAGGCTAAAGACGCACAGAGAGTGGGGGGCTCTGCTGGACAGGTGAGTCTATCAGATCTCAAGGCTAATTTTACTTGCAAGGCTGTTCCCAAAATGCAATCGGAGCTTACAGTAAGTATTGAGCAGCAAACTTGTGTTTTTCCAAAGTGATGAAGCTTTTGCATCTAATTGTACTAACTTAAATTGCATATCACGGCAGACATCTCAAAATACATAGTCTTCTGGGGGCTAAGCATATATTAATACATTTTGGTAGAGAGGAATATAGGCCAACTGTCATATAGGTTATGTTATCGGGCATCCTTCTAATTCCCTTGAACAACCAAGATTGAACTTTTGAACTCTTTATAATTTCTATTATCTAGTCCAGTTAAAGTCCAGGGGAGGAAGCCCCATCATAGTAAAGAGTATACGAATGTGATGTGTGTAGTTCTTCATAGCCTCTTCATTTTGCTCTCAAAGTGCACGGAATTGATGGATTTTTAACAGAATGTAGAAAAAAATTCTCCCGGGGGGGCATGCCCCCGGACCCCCCTAAAGGGGCTGTGTTCCCCTTGGGGCTAAGCCCCCCTTGTTCTTGAAACCTAGTGACGCCCCTGGCTATGACTAACATAAAGTTTGCAACACAAAGTTACAGTCACCTTAAATTTAAAGACAAACGTCAAATCGGATTCCAATGAACGGGTGTAAAACAAAATCATTAATTAAGAAGAACCTGCTGGAGAGTTTGACATATTTAGACTCCAGGGCTGCGCTGGAAAATGCTTACTCAGACAACAATGGAGAAAAGACAAACCACCCCACCCCAGGCCCCTCAAGGCCTACATGCTGGTAGTGAGTGGTGAGCCAGTAAATCAAGGAGCAGCACTGACACACCAGTAACGTGCATATTAACAGGTTGTGACGGGAACAAGGTTGCAGCGTGTAGTCAATCTGCCGTGTACTCGGGTTGGGGCATGAATGTACGCTCATCACTTCCAAGCTGTCATGAGATCCATCCATTTCCTGAACCGCTTATCTTTCCGACTGGGTAGCAGGCATGCCGGAGCCTGACCCTGCTGTCTGCAGGCAGTAGGCGGGGTCCACCCTGAACCGGTTGCCAGTCAATCGCAGGGCACGTGTAAACAAACAAGCATTCACACTCACATTCAAGCCTCTGGGCAATTTCAAATGTTCCATTAACCTGCGATGCATGTTTTTGGAATGTGGGAGGAAACCGGAGTAGCCGGAGAAAACCCAAGCAGGCACGGGGAGAACATGCAAACTCCACGCAGGACCTCTGCACTGTGAGGCGAACGTACTAACCAGTCGTCTCACGTGTCGCCCTGAGGGGATCACACACAAGATTCTGCCTTCACAAAGATCTTATGAGTGGTATTCATCTTGAAATACATTCTCAGTCTATTCAGTCCTGTAGCGCTGTACTGCATCATACTATGTGTTTCTTCAAAGGTAAAAGTACATTGATTCACTTCCTGAGCATACATCATAAATGACTTGTGGAGAAAGCACCTGTGCTTGACCCCCCCTCCACCCTCCCAATTGTCTCCACCTGTCGAAACCAGTTGAACAAGCGTAGCCAGTTATTCGACTTGAAAATCAAGCTAGTGCTCTGGAGAGGATAGATGGCGATAAGAAGTCACGTCAATCGCTTTACAGTCACGAGTGGGGGGTGGGGGGGGGTGTTACGTGTGCACGTTTTCCCCTGCCTTGAAATGCAACGTGATGTTTACGGCAAGTAGCTTCAAATTGCTTCATATTATTGATGACTGAATACTGCGTCAACGAATTAAGCTCTAGACAGAACTGGAAAAGGACAAGTAGTTTCTAGTGTTGCTTTTTTTTTTTTCATGACTCACCTGCTCAGGGAACCAGACCTTTTGTGATCCCTATATATGAGCAAATGCATTTTTATAGTAATACTTGAGATGATATTTATAGTACAAGTCAAAACTTTGGACAATTTGGCTCATTTAGTAGCTTGAGAAAGTGTGTGTGTTTTATGACTGGAAACGTCAGTAGTCAAGAATTAACATACTGAATTGATTATACATGTCAAGGGATTGACGGTTAACAGGCAGGGCAAATGCTCCCCAAGTCGAGGCTGGGATTGGGACTTAAATGCTACTCCAAAAGGAAGAAGGAGCAGGTATTAGTGAAATAGTGCTGCAAACTGGATCCACACGAAATGCATTTGCACGAACATCTGATGACGCGAGAGTTGTGTAAACACACTTCTTTACTGATGATGTCGAAGGACTGGCCGGTGATCAAATAGGACAGACTCATCCATTGCTTCATCATCTTCCGCTGTGTATTGTATTTTGAGTCCACACTGTACTTTGAAACAGATCAGTACATCTCTGCTGTCAAAAAAAAAAACAAAAACATCTTCAATTTGATCTTGTGATACCGGGCTGCGTGTGAACAGTTAACTGGAACAATGTGAGAAATTCATTGTTGCTGACTCAGAGTTTTGGCCCCATTCAGCACTCACTGAACAAGTAGCCATGTCTGAAATGCATTCCCCGTCTGGTCTGTTTCCCTGTTGACATATGACCCCACATTGCTGCTGACGCGTGGACATTTTATTTGGTCATTTCTTTAAGATACAAGGTGCAGGAGGTAAAATAATAATAATAATACATTTTATTTGAAAGGGCTTTTCTCAGTACTCCAAGACCCTTTCCAACAAGAATTAAGAGATACAGGATAAAAATGTACTATTTAGAGCAAAGTACACACAAGTTTGAAATCAAACAAATGTCAAGAAAAGAAACCAAAGCAAGAAATAAGTACCAAAGATTAAAAGATGTTCAAAACATCGTGGAACTGGTGAGTTTTGACAAATGATTTGAAGGTTGGGAAGTCAGTAGCGGATGTGTTGAGGTGGGGGATTCCAGAGGGTGGGGGCGGCATCAGAGAAGGCTCGATCCCCCCCCAAGTTTTGTGCTAGGTCATGGGATGCCTATTTTTGCTTTTGAGGAGCGGAGGGTGTGGGAAGGGGAGTATGGGTGGAAAAGGTCGGAGATTGGAAAGGGCTTTCTAGATGAGTAGGAGGAGTGTAATTTGAATGCGCTGGGGAATGGGGAGCCAATTGAAGTTTTTGAGGACGGAGGTGAAATGATCACGGGAACGG